GGGTTCATAGCCAAATTCTACCAGACATACAAAGAGGAGTTGGTACCACTCCCTCTGAAACTATTCCAAACAATCCAAAAAGAGGGAATCCTTCCCAAATCATTTTATGAGACCAACATCATCCTGATACCAAAACCCAGCAGAGACTCAACAAAAAAAGAAAACGTCAGGCCAGTATCCATGAGGTACATAGATGCAAGAATCTTCAATAAAATACTGGCAAGCCAATTGCAACAGCACATCAAAAAGCTTATCCATCACAATCAAGTAGGTTTCATCATGGGATGCAAGGCTGGTTCAACATACACAAGTCTATAAACGTAACTCACCACATAAACAGAATAAAAGACAAAAACCACATGATTATCTAAATAGATTCAGAGAAGGCCTTCGACAAAATTCAACAGCGCTTTATGCTAAAAACTCTCAGCCGGGAGTGGTGGCTCACGCCTGTAATCCCAGCACTTTGGGAGGCAGAGGCGGGTGGATCACGAGGTCAAGAGATCGAGACCATCCTGGTCAACATGGTGAAACCCCGTCTCTACTAAAAATACAAAAAATTAGCTGGGCATAGTGGTGCGTGCCTGTAATCCCAGCTACTCAGGAGGCTGAGGCAGGAGAATTGCCTGAACCCAGGAGGTGGAGGTTGCGGTGAGCTGAGATCACGCCATTGCACTCCAGCCTGGGTAACAAGAGCGAAACTGCATCTCAAAAAAAAAAAAAAAAACTCTCAATAAACTAGATATTGACACTATGGAATACTATGCAGCCATAAAAAACAATGAGTTTGTGTCCTTTGTAGGGACATGGATGAATCTGGAAACAATCATTCTCAGCAAACTGATACAAGAACAGAAAAACACCACATTCTTACTCATAGGCAGGTGTTGAACAATGAGAACACATGGACACAGGGAGAGGAGTATCACACACTGGGGTCTGTTGTGGGGAACTAGGGGAGGGACGGCGGGGGTAGGGAGGTTGGGGAGGGATAACATGGGAAGAAATGCCAGATATAGGTGACAGGGGGATGGAGGCAGCAAACCACATTGCCATGTATGTACCTGTGCAGCAATCCTGCATGTTTTGCACATGTACCCCAGAAACTAAAGTGCAATCAAATATAAAATTTTTTTTAAAAGTCAAAGTATAAGACACAGAAAGTAAAAGAAATACATTCCAATCTATGGTTAAAAAAAAGACAGAACAATTAAAAATTGAGAAAATCTACTAGAAAGTAGAAGAGAAAGAGAAGAAAGTCGGAGTTACCAAAAGAGGAGGGAAAAATAAAAATACAAAATCTATCAATAAAATAATATGAGAAACTTAAGAAAACTTCTGGTAAATGAAAGACACAATTATCTTGACTGAAAAAGACCTACCAAGTGCCCAGCACACAATGAAGAAACAATCTCACCAAGGCATATGGTTGTAACATTTCAAAACAACAGCAGTCAAGAGAACACTGAAAAAGGTTCCAGAAAGGAAAAAAGAGAAAAGACACATAGAGGGGGTTGAGAAGGGGCACTAGATCTTTCAACTGCAGCAATAGAAGCTGGAAGCAATACAGTCATGATGTCAAACATGAAAGGATGTCAAGAATACTTCCAACCCACACTGCTACTCCAGGCTAACTTCAATCAAGTGTGAAGTATAATAAAAACACTTACAGACACACAGGCATCAAAGCATGTAGCCCTCACTTGTCCCTTTTCAAGTTCCTGGAAGATTAACTGTAGAAGTGAATAAACCAAGAAATTCCCTGAGATGAGGGAGCAACTCCAAAAAAGAGCATGACATGGCATTCAGGAAACAATCCAATTCAACACAAGAGACAAACACAGAGACTTCCCCAGTGTGAGGTCCAAGGAGCTGCAGGAGGAGGCTGTAAGGAGGCCTGGAGAGCAGAAAGGAAGAGCACCCTCCACAGGGAAATAGAAAGGATGAGGAGGAACGAGGGAGGGAAGGAGGATGACCTGTTGCACGTGAATGTCCTAAGAGAAGATCTGTCATATGTCAGAGAGTTTGGAAATGAAATTAGTGACAGATAAACAAAACAAAAAGTTCAATTAACAAAATGCATTAACTCCAGGAAAATACAAAACATTGTTTAATAAGTGAGACAAAAGATAATCTCAGCTGGAAACAATAGTTGCAGTTGTAATAATAAAAATGCCGAGTATTGATTTAAATAGAAATTAAATTAAGTGGACTCCAGGGGAAGAAGGCCTGAGAAATTACTTAATGGATAAAATGTACACTGTTTGGGCCACAGTTACACTAACAGCCCAGACTCCACCACTATGCAATATATACAAGTAACAAAACTGCACTTGCACACCCTGAATCTATACAGATTTTAAAAATTAATTTAAGTATACAGTGATAATAAGAGAATGATATCATAAGAAAGATGGCAATAAGAAAAGTGGCCTCAGCCGGGCACTATGGCTCATGCCTGTAATCCTAGCACTTCAGGAGGCTGAGGCAGGTGGATTACCTAAGGTCAGGAGTTCAAGACCAGCCTGACCAACATGGTGAAACCCCACTGCTACCAAAAATACAAAAATTAGCTGGGTGAGGTGGTAGGAGCCTGTAATCCTAGTCACTCAGGAGACTGAGGCATGAGAGTTTCTTGAACCCAGAAGGCAGAGACTGCAGTGAACTAAGATGGCATCATTGTACTTCAGCCTGGGTGACAGGGTGAGACTCTGTCTCAAAGAAAAAAAAAGGAAAACTGGCCTCATCTTTTATAGTAGAAGGTTCACACATAGCTTACATATCAAAGCATAAAAGCCTTATTATAGTCTTACATTCTTGGAGATGACCACAGGAGAAACAGATAGAAAGTTTCAAAGTACTTGTCACTAGGGAACAGCAGCACCATAGGTGGGCAAGAGTAGGGTATAACCAGAGACAGAAAGAGTACTATTCAACTATTTTAATCGTGTTCATATTCCATTTCCATAAAGATAAAACCTTATTTAAATAAGCAAATGACAGGGTATTTAGAGCTTACAAACTATTCCTCTGAGGAGCTTAAATATCCTAAGGGGAAAAACAACTACTCAAGACATGGTATTTTGGTTACTTTTCTTGAGTTTGCAGAAATATTGGAAGGGAAGGAACAATAAGGAGGAAATTATGACAATGATAGAGAGGAGAAGGGGCATCTGAAGAGGGAAGGTGACCAGGGCGGCTGGAAGAAAAGGCCCTGGATCATGTGTATCCACATCAGGCCTAGACAGAAATGCAGACAGTTCTTCAGTGGGCAGGAGTGGAAGGAGGAGGACAAGAAAAGCACAAAATGCTGGTTGAGGAAGAAACACACTTCATGGTGAGAGCACCCAGATGATGGTCCATAGTCTCTGTTTTAGAGTGAGGCAGAAGATGAAAGAAAATTGTGAGTATTTGAGAAGGTAGCAGAAGAAAATGGTAAATTCTGTATGATGCAGTAAATCTGATCTCAGAGCAGCAGTGGGCATACAGGGACGCAGTGGGCATACAGGGACGCAGTGGGCATACAGGGACGCAGTGGACTGTATGTGCTCAGTCATTCCTCTCTGCTCCCGCAACCCTTTGAAAGGCTTGCCACGTCATGTGTACACCAGTACCTTAAAGAACTGAGTTTCCAATAGACTATGAATACTCAAAAACTGCCTTATCCATTTGTATGCAACCAAAACTCATCGTAGCACCTGACATGAAATGTATTTTTGTTGTGTGGATATATAAACATTTATTTCCGGAAGTTCAAAGGCATCTCAACATATCAACATACATGTACTTCTTTAAATTGCTTTTTATATGCCAGAACAGTCAGCATTCAATAATTTTACAAATTCCTTTAAAAAATAATAATGTCCCATCATAGCTAAACCCACATCCCCCCAAAAATTGTAATTCAAGTTGAAATTTATGTCTTAAACTGAGTCTAAGTACATATAAACCCAGAAACTCTTCTGGGCAATGCTCACATGTTGACTAAACTCAGAACAGCGAGGAAGACTACGTGAATCTATGACTATCTCATGGATTCTAAATTAAAGCTTAGAAACATTTACAATGAACAAAATAAGTCCATAGTTGGAAATCAATCGCTGCCTTGCTTAATAATAAAACTAAAAATTTTATAGTGTAAAATATCAGCTTTTTCGATTTGGAATTAATTTTTGAGCACAGTCTCTATTTATCGAGTATGTCCTAATATTTCTACATACTTTAATTTTTCTCAAAAGATAGTTATTATTCACCATAAAATGCATGCTATTAATGCTACTTTCTTTTAAATCTGATTTCTTCTTTCCTACGAGAAAGCCAAAAACTGATTTCCTTGGTAATTACTTAACACCTTTTCCACAGAACATTTCAGATCCATCTCAAATAGGTTTGCAAGGAGTAGGGGAGGTTTCACAGGATGGAACTTAAATAAATGAATAAATAAATGAAGAGGTTTGTTCACCATTTAAATCTCTGGCTCAGTTTAGAGGGTGTTTTTTATTGTTATCAGTTAAAATTATTTGGGGCATATTAAGACAGTAGAGAAAATTCACCTGAGAAGTCTACCTGGAATGCCACATTTTGTCAATAAATTCTATTCTTTGGTTTCACAAAATAGCAAGACAGAGAATTATGATTAGCTTAAATTTAGATAAGTGATTTAAGCTAATCAACAATTTTGGACAAAATTCGGATCAGTGCACCTGCATGTACCTGTCCTCATATTTCACAAGGTATAAGATGATCAAACTAAGGTTGTTCCAGTAGCATCTTAAGAAGCAGAACAACCAACTGATAATCTTCATCATTTCACACTTTTATTCTTTCAAAGTTGTTTCAGTAGGTAATTCCCAAAAATGCTTTATATTATAGTTTAAAGGTATCCTGAAAATAGAGATACTTCAGTGGTACCCTTTAAATTATATAAGTTAAATCACATTTCAATAACTCTATGCTGACTTCTGGTTTAAAAGAGCACATACACATGCTTTCTAAGATACCTGATTTTGACTTCAGGATAACCTGAATGGTATGTCCATCGTTGGTGACTTCACAGTCTCGGCAGACCACATAATTTGGGGAGAGGCGGACATCCAGCAGTGAGGGATCATACCTAGCCTCTCTAGAGTTTAGGTTAATAGGAGACTGGTATTCTCCATTAGCATCAGGAAACACCAGACCCCACTCAACACCTAAGGACAAAATAAAATAAATTAAAAACAGGTTAAAAAATAAGCTGCCGTAAAATTTAACATGTAAAAACTAGTTTAGCCACTGATCCTTTACATTTTGAAGAAAGTAATGATACCATCACTATACAGAAGAAATATGGTAAATCTGTGTGTTTTTGTATTCATTATTTGAATGATCTGATATTATCAAATACCAGATACAAAATCCCGGACTAACAAAATATTATATTTGTATTTGTCAACAAAGACATAATAATTTACGACTCTAGGAAATCTGGGTCATCTTTAAGTGATTAGAAAAAAGAATACCAGAACAATTTCCTCTGCTCATTAGTTCAATTACGTTCAGTACTTGGGAAATAGCTGTAACTTTCAACATATTTAGTGACAGCTAAAAACCCTAACTCTCATGCTAGTAATAAATGCCCTTATCGGAAACGCAAGTGCAGTATTTTAAAGTGTGCATATGTATACACCTACACACATACATATTCACATGCTCTTTCTAAATCTGTTATAATTAAAAGCATATATTCTATATGGGTTTCAACATGCGTAGTAAACGTCAGCTCTTCTGGTTGGTTCTAATAGGAGCCCTAGGTCTTCAGGAATACATTTAGGAATCTCAAGTTTTTCAGAAGGTCAACGGCTTCTCGCCAAACCCAATGATTTGAGTCTGAAATTTAGGACATGTTTCAGAAAGACTTGAGCGTTGCTAGAAGGCTTCACGAAAAGACCAGAGGCAGAAACACTTTCTCCCCAAAGTCTTCAAGCCAAAAACGAATTGTTACACTGTCTTCCTCAAGTGTTGAGTAAAAGGTCCCGCTGCTCTTCTTGGCTACTCAGAAGACAAAAGGTACCGCCCGGGCTCGGAGGCTTGCCCGCCCTCCCGACCGCAGCAGGTGCGAACGCCAGCCCCGCGGAGGACTCCCAGGAGCGAGCGCAGGCGGCGGGAGAACACAGGCGGCGAGCACGCCTCCCTGGGGCGCCTCCCGCCCCGAAACGCGCCAGGGGAGTGGAAAGGTGGCGGAGACCCCCGTGGGAAAGAAGGGACGTGCGGGTCGTCGGAGCGCGCAGCAGCGGCAGGACGCGAGTTCCACGCTCGGCGAGACACTGACGCCGCCCCGGGACCCCGGACACCCTGACTCGCGGCCGCTTACCTTCCTCGTAGCCCCACTCCACACCCTCCTCTTCTTCCTCCTCATCGTCTTCCTTCTCGGGGAAGGCGACGGTATCTTCGATGAAGCTCAGGTCCGCCATGGGAAGGCCGCGGGGCCCCTCGGCGCTCTCGGCGGCGGTCCTGCGCCTCCGCGGGGCGCGGGGCTAGAGCGGGAGCGGAGCGCGCGTGGGGGAGTGTGAGCGCGCGTGAGCGGCCGTGCGGGTGCGAGCGCGCGTGCGGGTGTGAACCGCAGTGTGAGTACGAGCGTGCGTGCGTTCGGCCCGACTGTTGCGGAAGCCCGCGCGGGGAGCGCGTCCGGAGTCCCGGGCGGAGCGGGGGAGCGGCGGTGGCTCGGGGAGCGAGCGCCTGGCGAATTTAAAACCCGGCCGGGGCGTGTCTGGCACGCGAGGATCCGCCCCCTTCTCTCCGCGGCCTTTGGGGCCAGGGGAGCAGACAGCTAGAACTGGGCTACCGGTCCCAAGTCACGGAAACAGTCGACGCATCCCCGCCCGCCCTTCTCGCGGGGTCGCCCCCGCCGCCCCTGGCGCTTCCTGGCGCGGGAGACTCCTGCTGGGCCTCACGCGCCTTTCTCCCAGAAGCCCGCAAGTCTCCCAAGGTCAGCCCTTGGGACCCCTGTGTGCCTGGCCTAGGCCAGGGGCTGCTCCCCTATTTATTTTCATCCGTACTCCAGGAAATACCAAAAAGAAGGGGCTCCTGGAGGAGAGGGATGGGCTGCCAAGGGTAGGAGAAAGAAGAAGGCTGGGAGACCCCATAACACAATAAAAAGAGGCTCTCCAGCCGAATCTGCTTAGTATCTTCTGAATAGTTACTTTTTAAATTGTCAGTTCAGCACAGTGGAAACGAGTATGGAAATTTTTCCAAGAAACTTCTAATTAATTCCTAAAAACGTTTAAGAAAAAAAAGGGTTGTAATCTAGAGAAATAGATATGATTTAGGGAATTTTTTTTCCAGAAAATGATATTATTTCAAAGGCAGGGCTAACAGAAGGCAGTAGACAGAGGGTGTTCGGTGTTAGTTTCAGAGTCTGGGGCGCTGCTGCAGGCTCACCTGGCTGTGTACACAGCTCCGAGTCACCTAGTGAAATCGTGTAAACAATGAAGTGCACACATTGCATAACAAACAGGAACTCTTCTGATCCAAAGAGGTGGCATTGTTACATCTTAAACATGCTTCCCAGTCTAGTGTTAACAGCCTCAGCCCTCTATTCCTGCACCTTTTAGGTTAACTCCATATTTTTAGAAGATATATGTGCACAATAAACGCGGGTTAGAGCCTTAAGTACAATTTGTTTTTTATATGCTCTGGTCATATATGAAAGTGTCTATTTGCAGTTTGAATGTCCTGTTCCTAAATCACACCAGCCTTATGAATGCATAATTCCTCAAATAAGGATGGAAATTATCCGCTTGGGAATTTTTAGGTTCTGTGCTCATATCCTTTACTGCCTGCTCAGCACCTCCACTTTTTTAAAAAGCCACTTCATAGAGTTTTTAAAAAGCTAAAGCTATTACAAACTGTCCAGAAACCACACTGAGTTGGAACGAAGTGGGGGGAACCCTCAACTCACTCAATTCTGCAACTCTCTGGAAGGTTTAACCAAATAGATGGAAAACTACTGGCCAACTTTAGCTTGCAGGATAGCCAGTGGACTTTAAGCATTCATATAATTTCTCTTTTCATTAACACAGAGACCAGAAAGTTGATCACACTGTTCAGAGGACTGAACCAGTGTGAGAAACGAAATTCATTCTTCTCTCACTGCATTGTGTCTGTTCTTCAGTGGACACTCATTTGCATCTTTGCAAGCCTGGGACTGGCAGAGGCAGAAGCCTACCCTAAAGCCAGAGCTATGAAAAATAATAAGCACTACTGAAAATATTAACCACTTTTCCCTGAAGATCTCCTAAAAGGAACATTTATATTTTCCTTCCTTGAAAACTCTTTTGTAATCTTCCATTTGTTTTAAGTTTCTTTTAAGAAGTATGTTCACAACCTAATCAAATGCCGCAGCTAATTAAGCCCGTACAAAGGCTATGAAAGAGTTGGATAATAAAAATCGCTGCCACTCTGAGCTCATCAGCAGTGTCCACTCTCCTCTGTCCCCCAAATGTGCCTAAGTGTGACACTGTAGCCATGTGTAACCACCAACTGCATTTAAAGTATCAGTGGAATCATAAACATGTTTATCCAACCAGAGGACAATCGCCATGGTAAAAAAAAAACTGAATTTTCTATGAATAAATAGTATGCCATATTTACAAAAGATAGGCTGAATGATTGAATTGTTAGTGTTTAATTTTACGGTAAAAAGGCAATTTTGCATATAGCCAGCAATGTATTACTATTCAGAATTGCAGTTGACTACTAGACAAACATACACTGGCACATATTTGCTCTTTCTGAATTGTTCGGGATCATTTATAGAATGTAACTCCTGTATGCAAGCCTAGGGTTCCCTGTCCTGCCACATATGAGCCATTCCTCTGGGCATCCAAATATTCAATTAACAGCCTTAATTGCTTTGAGACCGTGGGCTTCAGATTTTTGCTAATTAACAGCACCTTAAGACCTTCTCCTCTCAGGTCCTTGTACTATATTACCACCAAATATGGAATTTCTATTTCTGGTTATTATTGTCTGTCACTAAAAAAATCTAAACACACAGATCAAAGATATAGGCCAGTTCTTCAGTTTACAAAATAGAACAAGCACGTCTAAATTCAATGCCAGAGAATCTAAAAATATTCATACTCTATATTACGAACATAAGTCCTCCACATATTTCTCTATAATTTTAATAGGCTTTCAGCCTAATATTATATTTGATCCCTTAAATTAACTTTATATTGCTCACTTTTGATGCTTGCATAACTAAGGCCAAATCATATTAGTAGAACAATTTATTAAAACTAAGACCTATATAACACCATTTGATACTGAGGGATTATAAATTGAAATATCTAAAAGGGACAAACTAATCTAGATGTCAGAGGAACCAAATACTAAGGTCGTGTCCCAGTGTCCAGAACCTAGACAGCCCGCTCCTCTCTTTCTCACTGCTTGTCCACCATACCAAGGCTTTCTTACTGTATTAGTGAGTCTAGGCCCTAGAATCATCATAAACATGACTTCCTCTTATGTGCACCTTGTGCTCTGGCATCACCTCAAGGGTACAGCTAAAGTATGCATGTCACATGGCTCCTATGCAAACTGTAATTCATGAACTTCAACAGTAATGAATTGGGTTCCTTCATGTGCGCTGCTCTGCACTAGGCAGTGAGAGAACCAAAAGTAAACATACAATACTGCTTCTTAAAGACTTCACAGTTCTCTGGGGGAGGAGAGGAGTGAATCGTTAACTATAATACAAGGCACCATGCAGTATTAATATGTTAAATAGAAATGCAGGTACCACTACATCTAAGGAAGATGGGATTTTCATACTAATGGGAATGATTCAGAAAAGTTTCTTGGAAAAGATGGCATTTGGGGCAAACTGAAGGAAATGGGTAGAGCTTGGATGGGCAGTATGTGAGCAAATAACATTGCAGGCGTGATCAGTGACTCCGAATCACGGAAGTGCTTGTTGCAGATCCATTTATTTGCTCCCTTAAACACCTTCTATGACTGCCAAAACCAATTCAGATACACTAAAAATACGCACTTCTCTAGGCTTATGTCTCAAGTAAGGCACTTTGTCCCACGGTTGTTCAGTTCCTTAGGTCTAGTTTTTGTTTTGTCAGGAAAGACAGCAAAATTTTCTTCATTGTATATATATTTTCATTTCTGAAGGTTTCAAACTAGTTGATAAAAAAATTTAATTCTTTCTTTAAATTACTTTTTTCAGCTGAATAATCTTTCACTTCACCTACTTAAAGTTACATTTATAAGTCTCCTTTTTGTTTGACCTCCCTTGATCTTTTATCTTCAGAAACAGATGACTAGGGCTCCAATTAGTCATTGGCGACGACATCATTGTCTCTATCATTCACTGCTTGGCCATCTGATTTCTTTGACCAATTAAATATGAGTGCAGGTAGCATGTGCATTTCCTAGAAGAAAGATTTAGGCGTTATCAAAAGCAGACATAGTAACCCATCAGGTAAAGATGAGTTCAAGGGTAATTTTTATTTGCTCAAATGCTGTTTTTGCCTTTATCTTTTTTTCAAAGAAAAAAAAAAGTACCTCCCTGTCTGCAAAGAAATCAAACACTCTAGTACCATGCCCATATCTTCACCTTGGAAATTTCCTAGATGCCCTAACCCTAACTAGGGCCCTCACAACTTCATGGCAGAATGAAAAAGCCCTTATCCAGAGAAAATCCCCATCTGCTCTAAGGAACATGGACCTCAGCTATCTTCTCCTCTCTCAGACCATGCCAGTTATGCCTGAGGCCCTACATCAATTCAGCATCAAACTGACTTATGCCGAAATTGGGATGTTCAAGATAATTACATTGGTGACTCCTAAGTAACCAAAGTCTCTAGGGCGCCTTCTGCCAAACAAAACCCCCTACCACACAGGTGAAAGTACCTCTTCTTAGTGCTTTCATGATGCCCTGTGTAGGTCTCTGACCCTGAAGTTAAGATTATATTTTAAATATGTATTTTGTGACCTTCTCCTCTAGATAATGAGCTCCCAAAGAGCAAGGCACTGGGCACTGTGGGGGAAACAACAAAAAATAAATAAATAAAATACTGCTTTTGCTCTCAAGAAATTCACAGTTCTCTGGGGGAGGAGAGGAGTAAATAATTATAATTATTGTAACTATAATACAAGTAGATAATTATAACTGTAATACAAGGCAATATGAAATATGTTAATTAGAAATGCAGGTACCTCTGCATTTAAGGAAGATAGGATTTTCATACTTATGGGAATGATTTAGAAAAGTTTCTTGGAAAAGATGGCATTTGCGAAAAACTAAAGGAAATGGGCAGTATGTGAGCAAATAACATCCCAGGTGTGAACAATGATGCTGCTTTGTGTGCCCCCATGTAGCACATGGTAGGCGCTTAGGAATTCAGTTCCTGTGTCATCAGCCATACAGTGACCTGATTAGCCTGAATAAACATATTCGTGCAATAAAAATTATGGTTACTAAGGTGGAAGCTTTCAGGGTACAGTAGAGCCACAAAAAAGGGAGTGATCAAGTTTACCTGGTGGCAGGTGTGTCAACAGGGGCTTCATAAAGGAAGCGACATGGAAGCTGGGCCTTGGAAGATAAATAAGTGCTGCTTTCCCTCGGAATGGGGAAGGGGAGGAGGTAAAAAAAATTCCTCAAAGCGTGATATAGACTGATAAGAAAAAAGAAGGAAAAAAAGAGAGAAAGGCATTCCAATAGAAAAAA